AGAAAATCGCACTTTTGGTCCCTCAATTAGTCATCATATTGAAATGTCACTCTCGTATTTTTGAGATTTTAAATATCACCCCCGAATTGACAGATGTGTTGTAAATTTTTGTCCCGTTGTTTATAATTTATCTCCAATTCTAGATTACGAACAAATTCACTTGGGATAACATTTACGAACACATCTGTCAATTCAGGAGTGACATTTACAATCTCAAAACATGTGTCTTGCATTTCAATATGGTGACTAATTGATGGATCAAAAGTGCGATTTCTCAACCAAGTATATTTAGAATTATGATCAAATGAGAAGAGTGTATTGTAAGAAATGAGAATGTATCTGGTGTGCGTATTGAATTTGAGATTTAATGACGGTCAAAGTGTGGAAAATGTTAAAAAGTGACGAGTGACATGATAACATATTCGTAATTAACTCAAACTCTCTGCCATCCTATAAAAGTGCATCAGGTAATAAGCGTGAAAGTGCAACACAAAAGAGTAAACTTGAATCATTCTCAATTATCAGACAGATCAAACCTGACTCGAATTAAATAAATCATATCAGACCAGGCTTAAAGGACCGGACCAGACCAGACTTAAATAGACTAGACCATGCCAGACTTTAACAAACCATATATATCATACCAAACATCGACAATTGTAAAATAAACAGAGTACAAATATCTACCAGATCAAACAGTTCAGACCAGACAAGGTCAGATCGGAAATTTCAATCCAAGTAAAAACATCAATATACTTCGTATTATATAATATCCCCCGTCACTTAAATCTTTATCATATTTGAATTTTGTGGTCAACCAAGTTCACTTTGACCAATTATATTTTTTTACATGAAATTTTTTATAATATAAAAATGATATGAAAGTATTCTTTGTTAAAAATACTTCCATAAAAGTATAAAATTTAAACTTTCCAAATATTATACTGATCAAAATTATGATCCAAACTTTATCACCGTTCACTTACTATTGACTTGAAATGTGAATGATGACAAAGTTTTAAGTGATGAATATAATACTTTTTTTTGCCCCGAATTGATAGTAAAGTCAAATCCCCCAAGAGATGGTTAAATCAATTTTAATAGATAAATTACATATTCAGAAGCTTCATTGAAAATTACATAGAATTGCAAAATTGAAATTAAAATGTAATAAATGTTGAAATGATAATAAGTAAATAAAATTGAACTTTATCGATAAAATAAATTGACTCTACAAATAATACTAGAACGGTAGGAATAATGCAAATACAACACCATTCGGTCGTATTAGAAAACTAGTTTTTTTTACGCGCGTTGCGCGATAGAATAATTGCCCAATATGATTTACTTTATAAAAACCAGTACAAGTATATAGTATCGATTTCCTGTCGACCGAAAAGCTCTTAAGCAGGCTTGGCCGGTTTACTTAAAATACATTGTATCCTGCAAACACGGGACCCTCCTGTCCATAACGTTTCAGGTCACTCTCAGTCGGAGCAAGGAGATGTGGCCCCTAAAAATTAAAATAGGCTGGTAACACACAGAATATTCAAATCATGAAAAGGACATTCACTTTGGCAAGTGAGCTCGGAACAAAAAAATAAACAGTGTACATAAATATAATCCTACAAATATTTGACTCCAATTTTCCGCACAATAAAATAACAGATCTAGCTAGAACTTGATGAATAACAACGATTTCATATTCACAGAAACATAGAGCACTTTTTAAAATCCCCAAAAGTGAAGATAGTTAGATACATATGTCATAACTGAGATTTAGTTAAATCTTCATAATGTCCGATGTAGGTAACAAAATGAAATAAGTACTCTAAAGAAAAGCAGACCACAGAAAGTAATGACACAATGTATTTTAAGTTATAACCTGCTTCATTAGAGAAGTGAATGCATCCTTGGACAAACCAAACCCAATGCCTGTGTTTTGACCAATAGTATGAAAAGACAGAAGAAGTTTCAAAGCTGACAAAAATGGTACAAGGTTAGGAAAGACAAAATTTGGCTTACCTCCGGGTGTGACCGGCTTTGAATTCAGTTCATACAGAAGTGCAATGCTTATTATGCAACAAGTATGGAGTAAACAAGCAATACTAAAGCATGTTATAAGAAATCTATAAATTGAGGAAACCTTAAACTCAGTGATTGCCAGCCGTGGACCAACTCGCCACATGTACCGCCACATCAACCTAACTACGAGGTACTTCAATTCCTTCGGGTGTAACTCCAACCTGTCTGAAATTTCCACAACAAGTACTGCATTATTGATTAATAAAGAGTGTGCATGTATGCGAAGCATTTTAAGTTCCTATAACTCCATTATAAACTACACTCTTTTCAATCACTGCTGGAAGGTCATATTATTTAAACGTCCTAAGTTTGTTAGCTTGAGCAGTCCTTTACGATCAGTCAATGAATAAAAAACATAACCGAAAAGCAAAGTAATACACACACATCAAAGAATCAGTAATCATAAACATGTTAAGGCTAGCAAAATAGTGTATTCCAATACTTAAAAGATACTCCGTATTAAATATCATGCCAATCAAACAAACACATGAAACTTATCATATAGACTTGCAACTCATCATTATTAATATTATAGGTATTCAATATTAGTATCAAGCATGAGTAATATTTTAACATATCAAGTATGGCATAAGCAAACACATAACAATCACACTAAAAGTAGGGGATGAAATAAAATAAACAACGACAGTGGACTGTAAGTAAAACATGACCGAAACCATGTTTTTGGATTGAAATCTGACAAACAATTGAGAAATAAAGAACCAACGCGAACAAGGCATAGTAACGATGGCAATTAGGAATGAACTCGAGTTAAATCTTAAGGGAAAATACGCTTAATTAGATAAGAATGAAGAACTTACAAAAGGATGCCAAGCAATTCAAAATTGTTCAATACCAGGTTCCAAGTTCATCAACCATGTTGCCTGCCAGAGTTTCTGAAGGAAAAAACAGACTAATTGAAAATGAACTGTCACTCAGAAGTAAGGTTAAGAGAAAAGGAAGTTTAAATATTTAACAGCAATAATTTTTTATCTTTGAAATATAATTATTCCAGAAACTAATTATTCCAGAATATCCGGACATTTAACGAATGGAAATGAAGTTGAGTTCAGTCAACCTTTACAGTGCCATAGCATTTCACGCAGAAAGTAAAACAAACACTCCTTTGAACATATTCTGCCAAACATTAAAACTGGGAAGTGGGCGCACAACATACCCTTGAACTGAAACATTATATATCAGATTTTAAGGATTAGAAGACACAATTTTGAAACATACAAAATGCACAAGATGGAAGAGTAAAATAATTTTAATTTTATTTACATGTATGCAACAGATGATTTCAGAGGTTGGCTAGAATGGTTGAACATTTAATTTCTGAGGTTACGCCAAAACACAGGAGCGAAGGGGCAACTGGACTTGTGTCGGCCGCGTCCGAACGACAACCCTTGCTAGAGGGCTCGCATGAGCCTAGACGCCCCGCGTCCGAATGACAACCCTTGCTAGAGGGCTCGCAGGAGCCTAGACGCCCCGCGTCCGAATAACCTAAATTTTTGTTCGTGGAAATGCTATTTACAGTTACAGAGGTGAAGACAGTCAAGACACTGAAGAGTGAAGACCTCATTGAAGGGAGATGATGAAGGGAGATGACACGACAACTGGTTAATTAACGGGAGTTAGACGGAAACATTAGGGTAGCACTCAAGCGCAAAAAGTTTATAGCACAGTGTACAACAGCTTAAAGCTACATGTACCACCAACACATTTTCCATACCTAAAATACCCTTACCTGTATTCACCCTTATAATATTTTAGATGAATTGGAATAAAAAAAATATGATCTAAGCTTTATACTCCGTATCATTTTAGAAGGGAAACCTCCCGAAATAGGACTAAAACAATTTAAAAATTCCAAAATAGGACTGTCATGTTTTTTATTTCCAAAATAAGAGTAATTACTGCCAAGTTTGGAAAATACTGTCATGTTTGAAGTCTGGTACTGCCAAAACATGACAGTAATTAGTCCTATTTTGGGAATAAAAACATGACAGTCATATTTTGGAATTTTCAAACCTTTTAAATCCTACTTCGGGTAATATTCTCTTTTAGAAATGAATTGGAATAAAAAAAAAGCAATTTAAGCCCTTAGAGCGTGGCACAACCACACAGGACATTATTGTCCCATTCATGTGAAAAATGGGTGCACATAGCACATTTTAGGGTGCGTAGAGATCGACCTAAGATAAAACACAAATGCTAAAGCTACCCTATTTTGTACCCTTTATGTTTGTGGTTCACAAAAACACTTCATTAAAATGGAACAATTAATTGATTGGGTTGAGTTTTTGTGAACCGCTCTATGAGTGAGGTACAAATGAGTAGGGCTGTGCACGGGTCGGGGTCGGGCTAGGCCCGACCCTTTGATATTTCAAATCGGGTATTTTGGATATTTTTATGTAGGATATTATCGAATATCGGATCGGGTTTCAGATATTTCACATTATAATTGGATAATTAAAGTGTTGGAATGCCACTTTGACAAAAATTGTACACACTAATGCACTACACATTCAAATTAGACAAATAATTTAACACAAATTGCACAAATAATTACACAAATAATTGAACACAAGTATTAATTTAACATATTCAAAATACACACTACATAATTTAATATATTTCGGATATTTCAGGCGGGTCGGGTTGGGATTTTACAAACCCTACCCGCCACCCGGTCCAGGCCCAATACTAATCCGATTTTCGGGCCGGACATCCATATCCAACCGGATAATATCCGAAAAAAAGTCGGGTTTTGCGGATCGGTTCGGATTTTGGTCAACCCTACAAATGGGGTCAGCCCTACAAATGGGGTACTTGCGTACTTAACCATTTCTGAAGATAAAATTGCACAAATCTTGCAACTTCAGGTTTTTGTGACTTTTGTCCCTTTTCCGTGTACTCCGAATTAGGTAAGGGTGAAAATACGAACGAGGAAATATGAATCTCTTTCAAGGGTTTAGGCGGGGCTTTCAGCTTCGGTCGAGCAAGTCCCAGAAACGGCTTCCTTGTCCTCCAATGACAGCTCTAGCCCCTGCAAAAATCTAAAGCTCAACTTCATTATCGGAAAAGATCCCAACTTTCTTATCCTTTACACTGATGTTGAAGGTTCTCACATCAATTTCTCGTTACAACTCAGCGTCGTCGGCTTTTAGCCACCATGCCCGACCGTACAGAGACTCAAACTCTCCATTGAACCGAGTTCTGAGCTCAATCAGAAGCTCCAGACAGAAGGGGACCTATTTCTGCACACGATTTTTCTGTTCTGACAACACCAATGGGCCCGATGTGCCTGCCGAGGCCGGGGCAGAAGCTAAGCAGGGAGAGGTTGAAGGGGCTGCTGAGGCTACGAATTCGGCTGCCATGGTTCCCACTGTTTTTCGGCCTGAAGACTGTCTATCGGTTAGCTCTATGCGGTTCATTTGAAATTGTGTGCTTGAGGGTGTGAATTCTTCGTGTATGCATGCATTCAATGCCAATATCCTGAAATTACATTGTCTCCGGATTTATTGAATGAAAAATATGAAAGCCTGTTGTTGATTTCATAAGCTCATTCCTTCAAAGAAACATCAAGAGAATGAGAAATGAGAATATTGTAGAAAAATAGCAATTTTTTCGATAGTTGATATAAGCTCAAATAGAAGAGTGGAAAATGAGGGTATTGTATAAAACTGAATATTTTATCCTTACTTTTTTGAGCCCTTCCTTTCATTTGGATTTTTTTACAACGTTGACTTTTGTATTGATGTTTAAGCTGCTGAATGACTGCCATTGGATGAATGGGAGTTAAACGAAATCATATGAATCTAATGTTACTATGTAGTTGCTTATCGTGTTAGGATAATGTGATACAAAATTAGCTGCTAATCTAGTTTCATGATAGGGCTGTAATTTTGAAGGTCCATTTGAAATTTCAATATTTTAGGGGGTTATGCATCAGAAGATGCAAATGCAGGATGAAGTTGGTTGGGTTGTAGAGTGGCTTCTTAATTCAATCTTCAATCCAAGCAGGTAGTGGTAATTTTGATGTGAAATTGGTTTTCACATAGCAAGAATGCAAGGTGCAACTTAAAATGACACTGTATCTATAGCAATTACTCAAATATTTCCTTAAAATTAAATGTTGACACCTCTTTAAAGGTGTGGTTAAATTTTGTTATGTGGTATCAACCGGCGCGATCTGTTTTAATTGTAATCTTCTACAAAACCTCCCTTAGCCTTAGGACAACATATATCTTTTTTTTCATATTTTAACAGGCCATCTGATTACATGACTGGTCCTTTATCACTTTATGGATACATCACATTTTTTTTTGTGAAACTGCAGCATATAGGAGATTTTAATTATGTGCGGTTAGCAGATTTTGGAGCAGCAACATCTGGTGCTAACAAACTGCATTGTCAACAAGTTCTTGAAGAGATTGATGTAAGTTTCTGAGGTATCTTGTTCCTTTAGTTTCAACAACTAAGGATGTGATAATGAACATTCATAGAAAATGCTTTAAGCATCATAGATTCTTAGTTGTATTTCTACATGCTAATTGTGACCCCCAAGCTCACGAAGTGTAGTGGGTTTCCTGTGAAGTATGTTTATTATGAATCTTGATGCAAAAAATTTTACAAAATCCAAAGTTAATACTTAATAACTTAATATCATTGGGGAGCAGCGTTGCTACTTATTAAATAAGCAATTGAAGGCTATAAGAAAGTAGGTGGTGTAAGTCATGAATTTCTTAATTGAACTTAGAAGTCACAGTGGCATACATTTTTTCTTATAAATTACTGAGTTTTCAAGTTGGCATAATTTATGCCTTACATAATGCAGGAACTGGGACTGGAGACTGATGACAAGACAGCTCTTTCCGGTTTGTAGTCTTCTAGTCCTGCAACATTTTCATAATTGAGAATCGTAGGGAACATGGTTTTGGCATAAAACCATTTGTCTGTTATGAAGCCTATAAAGGGATGAACAAATTCATCAAACTGATTAACTGACCGAAATCGAAGCGTAACCAAACTCAACCGAAACCAACCAAATCATAGGCGGCTCTGTTTAAGATTTTTTCTTGTAAAACTTATACAGCTATCCAAGACAAACCTAAACCGACTTAAGTTACTTGGTTTGGTTCTCGGTTTTGCATTTTTCATAATCAAACTAACAAAATGCCGAACTGATTAAGCCGTTATATTGGCACGTCTGATGCTAGGGCCATGTGGGAGGAAAATGAATTCTTATTTAATTGTCTAGGTTGTCACACTAGCAACATTAAAATTCCAAAAATAGATTTCCTCCCCCCATTTACATTTTTGAGGATGGGATTATACTTTAATGATTATAATGCTTGCAGTACAATTGATTTTTCTGAACCCGGAAACAAATGGGACTCTGGAAAAGCGTTTACCCACAGATCATATTCTGAAATCCACCGTTTCAGACCTCATCACGAAGCAACACTGGTCCAAACTCAGAAACCTTATTAATCCCGCTGACCCAACAGGCTTCATTCTACATTTATTCCAACCCGGGTTCAGTTCTGATGCCATTTTCTCCTTCTTCAAATGGTCCCAGACAGCTTATAAAGTTTCTTACCCTCCTCAACTTTTATGCAAACTACTAGTCTTGGCTGCAAAAGAAAAGAGATATTCAATGGTGAGATCTTTGCTACACTCCTTCGTTAAAGGTGGGAAAATCCACTCAGTTTCGTCTTTTTTTCATGAATTGTTGACCTGTAGTGATGAATTCCATCTCAACTCTATCATTGTTGATATGTTGATATTGGCTCTTCTCAATAATTCGAAAGCCGATTTTGCTTTAGAGACGTTTAAGCGTGCTGGAGATTATGGTTTTACAATGTCCGTTCATTCATGTAATCCACTTTTGCTTATGTTGGTAAAGAAGAAGAAGACTGGGGAAATTGAGTTCTTGTACAAGGATATGCTTAGGAGGAGGATTGCACTTAACTTGTTCACATTTAATGAGGTGGTTAACGGGCTGTGTAAGGAAGGGAAGTTGAATAAGGCTAAAGATGTTATGGAAGACATGAAGATTAGGGGAGTTATGCCGAATGTGGTTACTTATAATACATTAATTGATGGGTATTGTAAAAATGGAGGATCATCGAAGATGTACAAAGCGGATGAAGTCCTTAAAGAAATGGTGGGTAAAGGGATTCAACCAAATGAGATAACCTATAACACTCTCATTGATGGATTTTGCAAGGATAATAATATTAAGGCAGCTTTAAAGACTTTTTCAGAGATGAAGGAGCATCAGACAAAGCCAAACATTGTGACATATAACTCATTGATTAATGGGCTTTGTGGGGATCGAAGAATTAGGGACGCTTTGGACTTACAGACTGAAATGGTGAGTCTAGGGTTGCAGCCTAATATTGTCACTCATAATGCCCTTATAAATGGATTTTCCAAAAACAAGATGTTAGTGGAGGCTAGGGAGTTGTTTGATCAAATAATGAAGAAGGGATTCGTAGTTCCAAGTGTGCTGACTTTTAACTCTATGATGGATGGTTATTGTAAGGCAGGGAAGATGGAGGAAGCAATGCCTCTCTTTGACTTAATGTTGACCAAAAGAATTCAACCTAACGTTTCAACTTATAATTGCTTAATTGGGGGATATTATCGGATAGGTAATCTTGAAAAAGCTAAAACGATGCTGGATGAGATGGCCCTCAAGGGATTGAAGGCTGATATTGTCACCTACAATATACAGATTGATGCAATGTGCAAGATGGGTGAATCTAGAAAGGCTGCTCGCCTGCTGGATGAGATATATGAGGAGGGCCTAATTCCAAACCACATAACGTACAATAAAGTGATGGCTGGCTATTGCCAAGAAGGAAATCCGAAGGCAGCTGTTTCTATTAGGAGAAGAATGGAAAGGGAAGGGAAGAAACCTAATGTCGCAAGTTTCAATGTACTGATGAAAGGGTTTTGTTCCAAAGGTAAGATGGAAGAGGCAAATTCACTTTTGAACGAGATGCTAGAGAAAGGGTTGGCACCTAATCAAACAACCTATGATATAATCAATGGAGAAATGATTGAAAAGGGATTTGTTCCTGATATAGATGTACGTCTCTACAATGATGGAGGAGACTAGAACTTTCAGATTGATTGATATGGAGTTTGTTTTCTGCCCAAAGTGCAAAGATACCTGGTAGGATCTTTCAGTGAGTGCAAAGATATATGAGGAGGGCCTAATTCCAAACCACATTACGTACAATAAAGTGATGGCTGACTATTCCAAGAAGGAAATCCGAAGGCAGCTGTTTCTATTAGGAGAAGAATGTAAAGGGAAGGAAGAAACCAAGTGTCGCAAGTTTCAATATACTGATGAAAGGGTTTTGCTCCAAAGGTAAGCTGGAAGAGGCAAATTCACTTTTGAACGAGATGCTAGAGAAGGGTTTGGCACCTGATCGAAAACCTATGATATAATCAATGGAGAAATGATTGAAAAGGGATTTGTTCCTGTAGATAGATGTTCGTCTCTACAATGATGGAGGAGATTATAACTTTCAGCGTGGGTGATATGAAGTTTGTTTTCTGCCCAAAGTGCGAAGATACCTGGTAGGATATTTCATTGAGTTGCACAAATTGTGATGGTCTAGCCTTTGCTGTTGCTACTTGCTTTATGGTCTAGTGCCCAAGTATCATGCATGTATGTATGTAAACACACTGTATAGTTGTATATATCTATATATAATAAAAGTTAAGTTTCATATAAGAGTAATTCTAGCATTGCTGACTGAAATATGACGGTAAACACAGATCAATGGTTCGAAGTCTTCATGACCAAAGCTGTCTGTAAGGACGGACCCAACCATTTCTCCACACAATATGGATGCGGCGGTTTGCGGCCATTGATCATATGAACTTAGGCTTAGATTTATTTGTTATTGGTGAAATCTGATGTAACTCTTTACAGTTTTAATTCCTATTATTTAATGCCTTTTCTTACTTTTTATAATATTCATTCCACCTTTACTATTAATATCCAACAGAAACCTTACGGTAATGATCAAATGGTCACATAAGTGGTAAAGTGGGTGTTCTCATTTGATACCCACCGCACTACCCTAGTCCCACAATTAATTTTATGTTTTGACTTTTTGAGTCAAATTTTATTAACATTGGTCATTAGTTATTCAAAAATCATACGGAGTATTATTTATAACAAAAATAATAATTATGAATATCTTATTTATTTATATTGTTGAAATGTTAACTTATTGTATATTTATAAGTATATTTTTTTAAATATTAATGGTCAACTTTTGACTTTTTGACACACGAAAGTCAAATTGTGAACTTAACTGTGAGTGATTGAACAGATGGTTATATACACAAGCTCACTCACACTCGTTTTGTCCACAAAAAAAAGAAGAGTTAGATATTTATTAGAGAAGTTTGTTGTCTAAAAGAGTATGTTTGATATAGAGGAGCTATCCCCATAAATTCAGGGGGGTGTATGCATTTAATACTTTTCAGGACATTTTTAGATTTGTATCAATATGGGATTTTAGGAGACTTGTGTGGATGTGGCTAGATTGTGTGGATTTCAACATAAACATTTGTGGGCTGTTAAGGCGTAGTTTTGGAAGTTTTGTGGACTGTGGCTAATTCTAGCAAAGGTGTAATCATACGGATGAAGCCGAAATTGAAAAAGCGGTGATAACATATCTGAAAAAGAAGGGTTTCAACTTTCAAGCAAACGGAGCTTGCATTCCATGATGAGTGGTACATCAAGCCTTTGTTTAGGAGCTTCCAAGAAGGAAAGGAGAGAAATAGCGAAAACTTTCCCAGACTTTTCTTATAATTCATTCCAAATCTCATGTTAGGAGGTGAGATTTGGGAAATGGGATTTCAGCCTTTGTTTGGGCCAGTAAGTCTCGAAAAGTCCTTAAATGTCTTAAATTTTCTAAAATGAATACCCCCTAGAACCAGCTTTTGAGCTGAGTTGGAGATGCAAGTAGACAAATTGCATGTCCTCCATATAGTAATGGCACCCTTTGATACCCGCATGCCACTAGCTTTGGCCAACAGATGGAGGGATCATGGAGATGGAGAATATGCAAATTTCTCAATTCATCAATGCCTCATGATAATTTACATGATGGGGAAATAATAATCAATGAGTTAAATGGTTTAATAATCTTGTCATAATTAGGCGGCTTGAGGTCCATTATATATATATTTATCCCCACTTGCGACGCTTGATAATTTTCTTGCCTCATAACTGCTCGGTTACCTTGCGAGCAATTTTTATCCAAATCTGAACCGCCTCAAATGGGCAACAAGTATAACTGGAACAATCATTTATTGAAAGGAGTCATTGATATTTTAATACGTAGTATAAACATTCAATATTCTAAAAGACAGAAAATATAGTGCCTAGACGATTCTAGATGTGAAGTGCCACTTTACAAATTCGTACACCCACAAGGAGAATATAAAGGTGATCCAAATCAATTTAAGACTAGAAATACTTAAATTGAAAAACCTTATTATCAATAAAAATTCAGATATAATAATCAGATTGGACTCTTCTTCATTAAAAGATAATAGAATTAGCCACGCGAATATTTCGAGATTATACACGGCGGACATCTCTAGGGTTGTCCCTAGCTTGATTTTACCGGCGGCGGAGGCTTTTCAGCCCATCTGTCCGGAGTCGGAGAGTTAGTTTGGAGGGAGATTGCAGGCGGTGGTGCGGGTCGTCTTCGGCCATCATCTGCAGAATCAACAAGTCCGATCTCCGTGGATGGTTTTTGGCTTTTTCGATCTTGAGAACTCTGCTTTTTGAGTTTTGCTCTGGAGTTTTCCTTCTGCTTCGAGACTGGGGTTTAGCGGGAGGGTCCAGGGAGATGAGTATACTCAGCTGGAACTGTAGGGGTCTAAACAACCCGGCAACGATCCAATGCCTGTCTGACCTCGTCAGTCTATATCGGTCGCTGATAGTCTTCCTCATGGAGACGAAGGTCCGGTGCTTGCGTGCAAAGGAGATACTACGCTCAAAGGGCTTCACCAATTCGGAGGGGACGGATAGTGCTGGCCGGAGTGGAGGGTTAATCATGGCATGGAATGATGAAGTTGAGATGGAGGTCAAGGATAACAATCCCAATTTTATTGACGGAAGAGTTGTTTTGCGGAGCAGCGCTGATTCTTGGAGACTAACTGGCTTCTATGGCTTTCCTGAGACAGTACGGCGTCGGGAGGCTTGGAGGATGATGGAGGGGCTGGCAGAAGGCAATGACGGTCCCTGGATGATGATTGGAGATTTTAACGACATCATGTTCGATTCGGAAAAGAAAGGTAATATTCCTCAACCTCTATGGAGGTTAAGGGGATTCCGAGGGGCAGTCAATAGTTGTTGGCTGCGGGATTTCCCTTTTTCAGGATATCAATGGACTTGGGATAATGGAAAAGATAATAATTACCGTCTGGAGCAGAAACTAGACCGTATTCTAGTAAATGATGCCTGGTGGGATTCATTTACAGAAGCTCAAGCTGTGTCAGTAGAGGCCCCGGCAAGTGATCATATGGCACTTCAGGCGCAGGTCAAACATAGGGTCCCAAATGGAAGGAGACGTTTCTTTAAGTTCGAGAACAATTGGATTAAAGAAGATGCTTGTAGAATTGTTGTTACTAGCAGCAGTTGGGAAGCAACTAGGCAACGGCCAATTAATGAGAGGATTGGTTTTTGTGCTACGGAACTGACTAGATGGGACAGGGGGAGGAAAAGAGGCTTTCGACATCAAATAATGGCGTGCAAATCCAGATTGGCCTGGCTTAGGGGGAAGGATGACCGTACTAGTGTCCGTGAGCTTATACGTGTCCGTTCGGTATTACAGGTCTTACTTGAAAAAGAAAATCAATTCTGGAAGCAGAGGGCTAAGGAATTTTGGCTAAAGGAGGGGGATATTAATTCCCGATTTTTTCATAATGCTGATAAACAAAGGAGGCGACGAAACAAGATGACTGGGTTGCGGCGGCCCGATGGTTCATGGCTGTCTAATCGGGAAGAACTTGGTGAGGCAGTCTTGGATTACTTTTCGGTTTTGTTCAAAGAACAAGAGAGGACACAACCACTTGCTATTCGAGGCGAATTCCGACAGGTGTCGGCAGAACAGAACGAGTTACTCTTACGGGCTATCAGTCCGGAGGAGGTTAGGCGGGCTGTTTTTGATATGCACCCGGAAAAGGCTCCAGGCTCAGATGGAATGAACCCCGCTTTTTTTTTCAGGCTTACTGGGAGGTGCTTGGACCGGATATATCTGCCTTATGTGCGTTGATGTTTGAGACAGGTAATCTGGCAGATCATGTTAATACTACTAATATTGTGTTAATCCCTAAAGTGGAGAAACCAGAAAATATGGGGGACTGGAGACCAATTGCACTTTGCAATGTGGTCTATAAAATTTTTTCTAAAATTCTGGCAAATAGACTCAAAGGCATATTGGATATTCTAGTCGGGGAATGTCAGAGTGCTTTTGTACCAGGAAGATCTATTATCGATAATATAATTGTGGCTTTCGAGACAAATCATTTTCTGAGAAGGAAGACGAGTGGAAAAGAGGGCTTTGTGGCGCTCAAACTTGACATGAGTAAAGCGTATGACAGGGTGAGCTGGACCTTTCTTGAGAATATTTTAACCAAGATGGGTTTTAATGTTCGTTGGATCCAGTTGGTTATGGAATGTGTTAAGACTGTTAAGTATTATGTCCAGTTTGATGGGGATTTATTGGGGCCTATTGTGCCAGGTCGAGGGCTACGTCAAGGGGATCCTTTGTCTCCTTATTTGTTTATTCTAGTGGCGGAGGGGTTGAGTGCTCTTTTTAGTAGGGCTGAACGCAGGGGGGACCTACATGGGGTGGCAGTTTGCAGGGGGGCACCCAGGGTTTCTCATCTATTTTTTGCAGATGACAGTTTCTTGTTTTTCAAGGCATCCGGCCCAGAATGTGAGGTGGTTAAGCATATTTTGGCAGAGTATGAGGAGGCATCAGGGCAGGAGATCAATTTTCGAAAGTCCTCGGTCACGTTCAGCCAAAATGTGGCCGAGACTTTTAGAATTTATTGCTGCAATTTTTTTGGCGTTCCACAGGAAGGTAGTCAGCAAAAGTATCTGGGGCTACCAAGTCTGGTGGGGCGGAATAAAACGGCTATTTTGGGCTTCATTCGAGACCGGATTTTTCACCGGATTAAGAGCTGGAACAACCGATTCCTCTCCAGAGCAGGGAGGGCTGTGCTTTTAAGGAATGTGGTCCAGGCAATGCCCACATATGCTATGAATGTTTTTTTATTTCCCCTTGATTTATGTGATGAGATTGAAAAACTGATGAATGGTTTTTGGTGGAAGGGTACGAAATTTGAGCAGAGAGGGATCAGGTGGCGGAGGTGGGAACTTCTCTGTAAACCAAAAAGCATGGGAGGTTTGGGTTTCAGAAAGATCAGGGAATTTAATTTAGCTATGCTCGCCAAACAAGGCTGGAGACTGATTACCAACCCAGATAGCTTGATGAGTCGGGTGCTTAAAGCTAGATATTACCCTAAAACCAATTTCCTGCATGCAAATCTTGGGAACAATCCTTCTTATGTTTGGAGGAGTATCTTTGAATCTCAAAGTATCCTTAGAGAAAATGTCAGAAGACGGGCAGGCAATGGGAGAGATGTCCAGGTGTGGGGCGATGCTTGGCTACCAGGGCAGGGGGATGGAAAGATTAAATCTCCAAAACCTGTGGGGATAGCTGACATGAACGTAGCGGCACTGAGGGATAATTCAGGGAAGAGCTGGAACAAAGAAAGGATAGCAAACATATTCACTGAAGAAGACCAGAGAGCTATTTGCAGTATCCCGATTAGCCTTACGGACAGAGAGGATGGTTTCTGGTGGAGTAAAGAGAACAATGGCCTCTTTACAGTGAAGAGTTGCTACAAAACATTTATGCAGAGCGAGGATCCAGGTGGCTGGGATGGGTGGAAATTTCTGTGGGACTTAAAAATCCCGCCAAAGGTAAAATATTTTATATGGCAGGTACTAGATGGATCCTTACCATCAGCGGACAACTTGGAGAGGAGGGGGGTACCTATCCCGAGGCAGTGCAAGATATGCGGCCAAGCTGATGAGTCTACGGAGCATGCACTGATGACATGTCCGAAGGCAGTGGAGGTATGGGAGGCGGCGGGGATGACACTCGGCTACGGGGAGGTGACATTTAAGGTATGGCTTCAACAATATCTTTCATGTGCAGATAAAAGTTTGAGCTCCAAAGTGGCGATGATCACATGGGGTTTGTGGAAGAGACGAAACACTCTGGTTTGGGAGAATGAGATGCAAGATTCGGCCAATCTACTGAATGGGTGTGCAAGTATGCTACAAGCTTGGCGAGAAGCTCAAGGAGAGGTGAAAGTGGCAGGCAACAGGAGTGGGAAGGGGAATCCGGGGTGGAGCAAACCGAAGCCGGGCTTTTTAAAAATAAATGTCGACGCCGCAACAGATGTGAGTAGGGGGAGAAGAGCTTGGGGATGGGTGGTAAGGGATGAACAAGGCACTTTTATTAAAGGCGGGGGTGGATCAAAAACGGCTGACTGGAGCCCAGCGGAGGCTGAAGCTATGGGGTTAAGGGAGGCTTGTCAGGCAGCACTTCAGGAAGGCTGGGAGTACATCGAGTTGGAGTCTGATGCCCAGACAGTCATACGCGGCATTAAGGGAGGGGGGGGGGGGGGGTTCAGCATACATGGATCTTATTATTGATGATATACGGAATATTTTGAGTACTAAGAGCAACTTTCTTGTCTCTTATTGTCCACGATCTGCGAATCGTGTTGCTCATAAGCTTGCTAGAGCACATGTTTCCATCTCAGATCATAGTTGTAGTTATGATATCAGGCCAGATTGTATTGTAAGCCATTTGGCGAACGATCTTTTGATTGAATAAAGTGGTTAGTCTCGGTTTCAAAAAAAAAAGATTGGACTCTTCATTTTATTACTACTCCCAAAGTGGTGGTATTCAAAGGTATGATACTTTTTTTTTAAGGTATGATACTCTATTAATAAAACATTGCGGAAGATTGCTTTCATTCATTGACTCATTGTGTTGAGATAATCCACATGATACAATCCAAAGGAGGAAGATTTCATGTTTTTCAATATGAGACACGATAGGAATAAATGAAATCTAGATATAACTAAAAGAGAACTGGTAGGCTAGTAATGTAGGTATAAATAAAACTGTAATTGACCAACTCCTTATCAGTAAAAACATGTTTTTAACGGATGAGTGTGGGTATTCGTTGGATCGGACATAATAGACAGCTACTGATATGCTTTGAATTTGATCACCCACTGACCACTGTCCACTTATTGTGGAGTGTGTGCCGGTCTTGCTGCAGGTCCCGTTACCGTGGATACTTCCATAAAAGTCCTCCTTCCTCTTCTTATTCCTCTCCTCATTCCTCTCCTCCTCCTCCATAAAAATATCTTTGAGAAAGCTAAGTTTTCTCCTAGTATGAAACTACAGAGCCTCCTGACTAATGAACTTTGTTTATACCTAACATTCTATTGAGCGTTTGCTTAAAGTACACTATAATATTTGATATTCCAAAATAGTGCAAAGAGAAAGAATTTAATTATGTTTCTCATATTAGGAGTTCTAGAACATAAATAACAGTGGAACATTCATTAAAACCAGTGTGAACAGAATTGGAACTACCACTGAAGTGTGAAAGTGTTGTCAATGATCTCTTGACAATTTCCGATTTGGATCACCTTCAACTATATGGCAGATCTTTCTTTATTTTCCTTTTCGCATTGTACTATTTTACTCTCCATCAATAAATTTCTGCTTTCTTTAAAAAAAGGTGTGTGAGTGAGTTCAGTTTAGAAAGTTTATTTATTTCTATATGTTTCCGAGTTATGTTTTGGAGGGAAAGAGAAAGATTAGAAAGGTTTGTGACCCTTCCTTTCTTGTTTGAGAGTCTAAAAAATTAGAAGAAATGAAATTGTTTTGGAGGGTTCTTGTGACTTTCCAAAACCCTTCAAATACTTAATTTTTAAGTTTTCTCAAATTGGGGTATTTTGAATGATAACTAATTAAATGATAACTTTAGCTCAATTTAAAATAAATATAAGTTCAACTATTTGAATTCGGCATATATTCGAATTGATTTTTAATTATAATTCCTTTCCCTCCTATGACTAACCTTTAAAATCTTCCTCTCTCCTTCCCTTCAAACTCCATACCTTATGAGACGTAGAGTATGGAAATAAGGCGATAATGTCTGAAGTGGTATGCCGAGAAGATCTTGACACAAATGACATGTACAGAAAATATGTGATTGTCTCTTTTATGAAAACGAAGGATTTGTTTGAGTAAATTTCCTTAAGTAAAACATTTCTTTTAAATTTAATTGCATGACGATAATGAAAAATGTATAGAAAATAATCAATCATCTACTTCTTACGGAGTACTAAATTTATGCTCATTATTTAGAAATAAAAAGATTTCATGTTATAAAAAAGGCATTCTTTAAATATGTCTGGTTAGAATAATCTTTCGACCAGTAATCTACACTACATAAGAGAACATGCTCACGAAATTCGATCAAAAAATTTCAATTGGAAGTACATCATCAAATGGAGGTGGTCGGACCGGGTTCCGGTCAACCTAAGAAATTTCTGTATACATATGTCTGCACAGTTTGTATCATATGGATGGTTGTTATATTCTAGCTTAGGTTAGTAATGTCTTAATTCCTGGTTGTAGAACTCGTCTAGATCCCAAAAGACTCGAGACACTATCTACGATTAATAAATAGTGGAATTGTTTTTGGTCCTAGCTTGTGTTCATTCTGGTTTTTTTTTTTCATTCTGTACTTTTTTGTATTTCCTTTTTGTTGTGTTTTTGCACTATAACCTTTCATGTATTCAATAAAAAAAATAATGGAAATGTTTTTCTTGCATCCGTGTCTTCATTCTCGATCACTATTTCAAAATTCTGATGTCTGAGTCTTTTAAATACCTGCAAATTTAGGGCTAATTTGAAGTGATTGAATTATGAAAAATATTTAAAATATATTTTATCAATAAATTAAAAAAAAATACATACAAAGTAGATAAAACACTCCTTATTAACGGTAACTTCATCCAATTTAATTAGAAAAGTAACCTCAACTTTATGTATTTTTATTATTACACAACGAACTAAAAATAGCTTAAGGGTTACCAAACGAGCTCTGATCTTAATATAGCTCGCAGGTATGTTGAAGCATCAACATTTATTCACGATTATTTCCAACATCAAGCTATAATTTTTGTATTTTTTTTTCAAATGTACCAATTTATATTAGTAATAAATAATTAATTTTTAAT